AAGGAAGGAAGGAAGGAGTGTGTGTGTGTTTGTTTGTTTGTTTGAGATTACAGCCAATTCAGGATAGAGGATCAAATTAACAGCCATGCAGAGGTCATTGCAGGATTTGGTGCCTACAGCAACCTTTGAAGAAGTGAATGGCTAATGCGCTATCCTAATATGTCATCTTGATAGTACCTTTGTGAGAAACTTCTAAAAAACAACCCCCAAAATTTACTGACTGGATACCTCTATGTAAGTCTCTTTCACACACAGATGGGTGAATAAACCTTTTTATTTTTGTTTTCAATTGCACAAATACTCCCTTTATACACAAAGAGTACAATTATTTCTCATTACAACAACATCCCCCTTCTATGTACCTTTTCTCCAGAATATACAATATCCAGGTTAAGAGGCTGTGGTCTCGTATCAGTTCATAGGCTGCTTTAGTGATACGTGCAGCATTTTGCAGTATTTCCAGAATGTGACTCTGAAACAGAAAACAAAACATACTTTTATTTCAATAAACTATAGCTGCGGGCTAGTTCACTAGTATAAACATTTAGGAATGATAGAATAGTAATCTAATTTTTTGATAAGCTTTTATTCAAATGAAAACAACGACAAGACAGGGAAAATGCCTGACTGAACCCTATAACCTTCCACACAGACATCAGCCGGAGCCCCTTAGTTTTGATGATATATCGCAGAGACGTAGGCACCCGTTCCTCACTGAACTTAAACAGATAAGCAGCATCAAAGCACGAGTCAATGGGACTACTGAAGGCTAGGTACATGCTTAAGTACTTTGCTGAATAGGGCCATAGAAAGGAAGTCTGTCTAGAAGTTAAAGTACAGAATAGGGAGTCAGGAGACATGGCTTCTATGTTTAGCTTTTGCTATGTAACCAGAGGCAAGCTATTAAATTTCAGTACATCTCAGGTTTCCCCATCTATAAAATGGCAATAATGATACCTACCTTCCAGGGGTGTTGTGAGGCATAATGAGTTAATTTTTGTATAGTGTTCTGAGATTTTGTAAAGTGCCTGGATTGCAGTGTTATAGGAGTTCAAGGCATTTGTTATTATTGCATCACTTATGACATTCCTCTACTGGGAACACCAGTTGTTATACATTTTGTGATGTGAGTAAACAAAAATGTTTTTAAAATGTATTTTTAGAGGGATAGCGAATAGAGGCAGCTATTAAAATACCCATTCATACAGAAGTAAATAAAAAATGTGAACTATTTAGAAAAATTGGTGGACAGTATCTAATCACATAAAGGCAACCACTGTAACAAAACATTTCAAGTTCTTCAGAATGGCCAAAGAACACCAGACTTTCTAATTTTGAGGCAGATATATTAGAATCATTAAAGAGAAGCAGTGCCCAGGCAACAAGATATTTTTTTTATTTTTAGGCCAAGATTTTCAAAGGCAACTAGTGATTTTGATACCTCAATTTCTGAGTGCCCAACTTGAGATACCATAAAGAGCCTGATTTTCCAAGGGTGGATGCTCCACATTTTCTGAAAGTTAGGCTTCTTTAAGATGACTCAAGTTGGGTGTCCAAAAATTGAGGAAACAAAATCACTCAGTTTTAAAAATGCTGACATAAGCCTCCACTTTTCTCCATTGTAAGGATGCCCCCTATGTTATTGGATCAGGGGGTGTGCAAGAGGATCCTTCGGGGTTACGTGGCAGGAGGAGCCCTTTTATTTATTTATTTTTCCTTCGGCAGTTCGGGCGGGAGTCCGAGTGCCTTTCTTTTTTTTTTTTTTCTCCTTCAGTAGAGCCGGCGCGGCAGGGGGTGCGTGCTCAAAATTTTTTTACTGATGGGGTGCACAATCAAAAAAGTTTGGAGACCACTGACCTATAGGACTGAGCCCTTCATTTCTGACAAACTTATAAACAGGCTGCATTTCAGGTATAATGATGCAATACAACAAAGCAAGCTATTAATATTATTACTTTAGGCTAGTGTTTAGGGTACAGTGAAGGTGGAATGCTGGCTTGTGAACCATCCTAAAAAGGGCAAAGGGCCCAACTACGCAACTGAAAGTGCACAAATTACAATTTCAAAAGTTAGTTTCACTGGTGCAGATGAGGCCACTGACCATTACGGTCAGCTGGTGAAAAATGGTGCAGGTCCATGATGAGAATGTGGCACATAGTCTTGATGTAAGTGGATATTTCCCCCCATACAGTTGAACAATAGTAAGTTTGAAAGAAGAGCATCTATATGTCCCTTCTTAATTTGCTTGAAGTTTTACATTTTTTCCCCCCTTTTAATTACCTGGGAGGCTTCATCACACAGCGGACTGTTGAAGAAGCACAAAATGACATGGAAAATCCTCTGATAGTTGTACAGCTCATAGCAGTGCTTATCTCGCAGTCCTTCTCCAAGAAGCCCAAGAACCCACTCACGTTCTGTTTTGTGCTGGAAACCACATAGAGAAGTACCAGAGTCACCAATTTCCAAGTAAAACATGCTGGGAAAAGCCTCAGCACAAACAATACAGTTTTGTCCAAGTGGCAATATCAACTTTTCCAGACTTCCTCTTTTCAGTTTTTACCACCACAAAATGTAACCAACAGATAGATTTCTGCAGGAATAATGGGTCAATGGGGCAAATGTGATCAGAGACAAAATTTAAAAGATTGCTATTTCTAAAATATTTTCACTGAATTCAGCATTAATAACTAAGTTAGACTATCACTGTAAGCTCTTCAGGGCAGGGACTAGATCTTCATTCTGTGTTTGCACGGTGCCTGGCACAGTGGAGCTTTGATTCCTAATTGGGCCCACTAGGCACCACCACAAAAGAAATAATGAATATTTATATGAAAATAAAAATGAAACAAAAATGCCAGTAAATAATTAAAAGTGTTGAGTAGAAAATGGCTGGGATTTTTTGGTTGATTACTAGACTTTAACACCCTCAAGTCATAATACTGGCTAAGCCAGGCAATATATTGCTCTCTGAGGGTTTATGAAACATACAGGACATAAATCTCACATTACCTCTAAATCAAAGCTGTAGAAAAGCTGATAAAATCCCGGTACTTTCTTCAAGTCCAAGTACTGATGCGACAGAAGGAATTTATTTATCTTTGTGTACATGTGCTCCTCTGTGAACAGATTTCAGTGGTTATTGCCGAGGAGGGAAATTTAAGTGTGCACATTCACAACCTCACTGATGAAGTGGGATCTACACTTTATGTTGCCTCAGTAGATGTCAGAAATATTTCACTGTGTGGCAAGTATGATGTTCTCATACTGTAACAGTGACGGTATTGTTGTTAACCATTAATTTTACTTAAAACAAAAATACACAACCAGACAATGCACCAAGCAAATGATCACATGAATATTTAACACTGGTCAATTCTCAATACTGTACTTCCAAAGTTACCCTTCACTCAGAAATAAAAATCTACTGCAGAGTTAAAAGCAAACCCCTCAGTGAAATTCACAGATAAGCCCTAGGGAATCTTATTAAAAAATACAGGATATTAAGCATGGTGAAGAGTGTTACAGGAAAAGCAAACTCAAAATCATGGACAAATTCCAGACCATGCAATCATCGGTTTTAGCTTACAGGAAAACATCAGTACCAAAGAAACACATCACTGAAACATTATGCAGTTATTCCACATTTTATATATTTGATAAAAATAGCCATTTAGGGCAGGGATTCACCAACATTTTCCATAGTGTGAACCACAGCTTAAAAGAGACTGTCTTGTGGACACCTGATCCTATTTGCAATACTACAGACCACCTCTCCTCCCATACACGATCCTATAAACATTCTTGTGGCAATTACAGTAACTAATCAAATGGAAAAGTAATACAATGAAAGTATTTTCCTATATTTTTAGATGTAAACACAGAGGAGAGCCAGCACACCATGCAAACTGCCAAGTCTCCACAGACCACATTTTTTAAACTTTTGTATTATGGCCAAATCTGGAGATGCACGCATTAATGCCTGGATTTAGGCGTGCAAATATCCCACCTGGCTTGCACAGACATCAGGCTATTTGCATGACTAAGTCAGGCATGCACACATAGATTCTAAGTCCCAAAAGGACCATTAGATCATCTTGTCTGATCTCCTGTATAACACAAGCCATTCATTTTCACCCAGTTATTCCTGTACTGAGCCCAAAATTTGTGAAGAGAATATCCACCTCCTCTGCAACAGATTAGATGGGATCTGAACTGGCAACCACTTGCACACAAAGCATGACACTTTCCACTCCTCCAATAAGTCAGTGCATAAGATTTAGATTCTAATGAAGGTTTTTCCTCAAAACATTTGAAGGCATGCGAGATAGGGCACATAAACTCTGTCTCTGACTGGAAAGGTTAAACAGCAATTTGAGGCTTAATTAGTCAAACCTTGCTACATCAGGGTTGGCTGTTAAGCCTGAAAGGGGAGTTTAAAGAGGGAAGTCCAGTAGCTGGAGGCTGGTGTAGAGGGAGTACAGCAGACAGGCTGTCCTATGGATGGCAAGGAGCCTGACTGAAGACTGGAACTGTGATGACCTGCATGTCTGAGCCCCTGAGCAGAGCCGGTACTAGGCATTAGCAGACTAAGCAATTGCTTAGGGCCCCGAGCAGCTCAAGGGGACCCCCATTCACTTTTTTAGTATGTGTTGGGGAGGGGGGAATATTCCTGCTTAGGGCTCCCGATGGTCTAGCACACCTCTGCCCCTGAGGGAGGAGGAGAGGAGAGCGCCAGCCCCTCGACAGTGGGGTTGTTTGGGACACAGGAGCCTGTCCAGGCTATATATTTTCGTTGGCATTTTTGTAAGAGTCTCTAAGGCACTGGAAGGAGCTGAACTCTGTAAAGTGGTAGGGCCAGGCCACGCCCACAGCTGGAGCAGGTAAAAGGACAGTGGAGGAAACTGAGGTAGAGTTGCAGCATCAATACATCTGGCTTCCAGGGGAAATGCTGGAGTGGAGACTGTGCTATAGCATGTCTCATGGTTGCTATGTTTACCAATATGCTTTGATTCTACAGTATCACTGAAACTAATCGTTCTATGCAATGTTGTTTTCCCTGCTTTAGCCCCAGAAGCTAAACCACAGAACATACAATTTAATCTACAATACCTGGCTTCAGCATTTGCTGCACCACTCTAGCAACGAAGAGGGTCAAAGAGAAAGTAAATCTGAGATTCGGTTGTCTGATTCCATTTTGCACAACATCCATAAGATAGAGGAGCTGTCGCACAAGAACAAGGAAGAGAAAGCTCTAGTATTACTCATCATCAGATAATACAGCAAGACGTTCCTCAATGGGAGTGTGGGAAAATAGGCCTTAATTGTATTTTACAAGTAACAAATCAAGCCACAATCCCAGCAGAATGACTGTTCTAAGAATTCCAAATGTTTTGTTTTTTTAAAAAAAAGCTCACTGATTATAATCATAATAAATACAGAAAGAAGAAAACAGAATAGGAAAGAGGATAACAGATCTTTTAAAAAACCATTATATGACTTCAATCAACTCTTAAGTACACATTTCTATAGCTGGGAATTGCTAACTCTGGGACAAGTGAAAGTGTGCGAGAAACACAATCCCATCTTTGAGGACAGACTAATAATAATACTAAACACTGAATCAGGGCTTGAGAAACCTGTTTGCTCACCCATCCAAGGGCAAATGGAAACCAGAGGCTGGTGAATGGGTCCCTTCCAGGAATTAATTTGCCCTAGTGTGCCTACCAAGGCAGGTTCTAATATCATGGATAAGTTAAATCTAGAACATTTGTACCTGTCTCTGTTCTCGAAAGCGAGCTCCTTCCAGGTGAGAACGAAAGGAACCCAGGATATAGTATGCTGCTGCTCGCATATTGGAATCATAGCTGCTCAGGGCAGCTACTGTGAGGCCCAAAGCATTCACTTCCACAAATGCATGGCATGCCACTACACACTCTGTGGAAAGGAAAGAAGTTAACATTTCTAAAAGCAACAACTACAAAGAACATATGGCAATGCAATTCTTCACATTAACTTCCATTTAAAAACATAATTTCTGAAAGTTGAACTAGAAACTGTAAATTTAATTGACTGTAGCAATGCGTGGTGAACACTCCAATACCCGGGTTAGGAAGAGGCATTCTGCACACACACATCTAAACAGGAACATTTTAGTTTCCTTGAAGTCATGTTGGCCAGTTCCTGGTGTGCTATGATACACCAGAGCTCATCTTCAAGGACAACTCAAAGAATTCTGCCTGGTGCATGAAGCTGGCTGGGCCTGGGATCAGGTAGAGTGGCTTGTTCAGCTCATGTTCTTAGCTTGCCAATCAGCAACTGTAAGGAAGACCAGGCTATAGAACAATGCAAAGAATAGGGCAGAATTTAACTAATAAACCAACTCTTGCCCACCCCTTTTTTTCTAGTGCTATCTTTTTTCTTCTCTTGATCACCATCGATTTCAGTGGGTCTGGAATTGAGCCTCAACTCTGTAGCTGGGAATTGTAGCCTTGTGCAACGAGTCAGGTGAACAGTGTTTCAGTGTTTATGGGCACCTATCCATAAGAGGGCACCCCCAAAATCAAGAGGTATTACAGTTTCAAATGGGCTTATTTAGATTTCATTCCTTGCAATCTGCTGTACCTCTGTAGATTTTGTCATTTTTGGAATGATGTACTCACCGTAGCACGGTCAGGGCACTTGTCCCTTTATGGCACAGCTTCAAGTTAGAGTTAGCATGGAGCTGCCTTGCTCAAGGGGGAGGTTCAAGAAGCTCTGCTGACGTGGGGGGCGGGGCGGAAGAGGGGGCAGTTTGGGCCATGGCCCTGCTCATTTCGGAGTGTCATGCACCTCAGAGCGTGCAGAGGGAAAAGTCCAGCAGTTCCTACATTGCAGGGACACAATCTGTGCCCCAAGGCTGCACAAGGAGAGGGGGGCTCCCCGTGCCCAGCCCCTCTTGCACACTTAGAGTGGCAGGACACAATCCAGTGCTCATTATTTGGGAAGGATATTGCTGTAAGTGGAAGACCATGTAAAATTATGAGTAAGATCTGGGAAGACTCTATGGAGCTCAATGTTTGATTCATGTTAACTGTAGGGAAAAAATAAACCTCTTGGGCACTTCCCATATCCTGTGTCTGAATGAAGAAACAGAGGGGTGAGTCAAAGCACCTCCCAGATAAGCATCCTTTTACTGAAATGGATACCAGAATAAAACATGGATCCTCCCTCTTAAGCTACTAGCCATGGTCAAAGAATCTAGTTTACTAGTTTTAATTACAATATAGGCCCATCAGTGACTTTAACATGTAGGGCACTTTCTAATTTAAACCCAATTTACACCCCCTTTAACTTTCTGAATAAACCTACCTTCTGCATCATATTTCTCTTGCGTAGTTCCTCCCCACCCGGGGCTGAATTTTTTAAAGGGATTTTGAGGTTAATCAAGCCATTTTTAATGAGGTTTTGAAAAAGTGGTGGCATTTCTATCCACTCCTAATGCCACACCAACTTGATGTAAACACTCCAGGCTTGTTGTCTATGCTAGTCTTCAAGGAGAAACAGCAGCATAGGAGTATTTTTTTTCCAGCTGAATAACAAATGTTTTTTACTTAGTGGCAACATCCTACGAAAGCTTTAGTGAATGTTTACCAGCTCTGCTCCGCCTAAACCAAGATGTCTGAGTACGTTCCTAGCCCTTTGATCGCTGAAGGTTTATATTTGTCATGGCAATTTCTCCTCGTCGCCCCCCAAAATCACAGATTATCTATGTCCCCATCCCAACAGCTGTGCTCATTCCCTCCTCAGCTGCCATAACACCTATCTCTGTCTCTCGGCTGGCATGTTCCACATATAGCTCTGCTGAAGGTGGGACAGCCAATGGTAGAATCTTCCCCTCCCGACACTGCACCCTGGCCAGCTCTATTCCACATGACGGAGTGACAACCTGTGCAACAGCACCACTGGAAATGCATTTCAAAACCATCTGCCGGAGAGAGTCAACAGCTGTTCTCAGCACTAACGATTCCTGTACATTTCCCCACGAGCCTCCTGGCTAAGTTAGATCCATCATATTGAATTGGTAGTACTCAAAATGCCTCAGTCTTCCCCCTCATAAGGAGCTCAGTCATGAGCCCGGATGCACAGCTGTGCAGGGGAGCATAAAGAGCTCCCTAACTCCTCCGCATGGGATGTCCACATCGCCAGAGTCTGTGCAGGGCAGGAACAGCAGCTGTGGCCAAGTTGCTCTCGCATAGGTTGGGAGGAAGTTGGAGGACCTATGGCTCTTCCCCGTTCTCCCGCAGCACCAGGGGCACCAGAAGATAGCTGGCAGCACTTCCTTCCCTGCTGGATTGTCACTCACAGTCTGTTCTCTGCCCTCTTCCTGGGGTACAGTGGCTATGTGCTGCCCTTACTCGGGCTGGGTTGCAGGGTGCCAGAACAGCCCAAGGAAAGGAACTTTTCCTGGTGTGTTTTACTTACACTTACACTTACACACACACACACTCTTCAGAAGAATGATCTGAAGCCTACCAGACTGTGCAGGTTTCTCTATCCCCCCCTTAGCAGTGGCTGATCCAGAGTTCTTGCCTGAAGTGCAAATGCGAAGCCAGAAGCTCTTTAGAGTAGGGACTGTGCCTCACTATATGCCTGTGCGTAGCCTAGCACAATGGGGCCCCAATTCCAAGTGGAGTCTCTGGGCACTTCTGTCGTATACGAACAACAAATGATAATTTCCCATGTTCATGTCCCATAATAAAATCCTATTTCCTTATTTCAAGGGTATAATCTATGTAACTCAGAGGAGGATTTATCTAGAAACTCCTCTTCCACTGCACGCATGGCATGGAAACATTTTCAACCAAGCTGCCCTTGGAAACAGCAATCAAATAATTGACATGAAATAACAAGCTATTGAAAAAAAAAGTTAAATGTATGTTTGACATCCAGTTTGTTTAAAGAACCTTGGGAACCACAGTTGGAAAGCTTTTGATTAGATGCTTATCAGATCTAAAGTTAGAGAGAACTGGGTATTTGCACAATTCAAGGCCTTTACTCAGCAAGCAGTAATCATTTGTATGTTTATAATTATGTACCGATGAACTACATAACATCTGTGCACATGATGCTGTACAGCAAGTGCAGGGAGCAGGCACAAAACAGTAGGGGTGAGATTTTCGAAAGTGGCTTAAGTGACTTAGGAACATATTTGGACTTGGGATCCTAAGTCACACAGGCACTTTTCAAATCCCACCTTTAGTCAATAACAGCCAAAAACACTAGGCCATCTAACACTGATCCTGTTAGAACACAAGGGGCATCCTGAATTTCTATAGCTTAATTTTTTTTTTAAATATACACAGGATGACAGACTATGTTATTATTACTGTCAAAAGCATATTGGTCAATTTGTAACACCAACTTAAAACAGCACCTCCCTTCCCCTCCGTTCCTACCTACACAGGTACTGTATTACTCAGGTTTATATTTCCTTTCTCTTCATCTGCACTTTTTATTCTACCTTTCAAAGCAATTATATTATCAGCTTGCCGTTTGTTTGAGAAGATGTTATTGCTATAGCAAACAAAAGCCAGCTGTAGCAATCCAAAGTTTACCCAGAAAAGAACATCATGATGGACATGGGAGAGAGGTGGTTGGTAAATTCGCTGTGATAAATGTCTCACTTTGATCTTTAAACATTTTATAAACAGACACAAAGCCTCGTCTGCAAGTATAGCAGTTGGGTGTACAGGGAAATTGTGTCATATTAAATTAGAAAAGCAATATTGAGCAAGTGGTTACCAGCACACACAGAGATATAATCAAAACTTTCCATTGACTTGAGAACACAGGCATAACACGATGATGAGGTTTTTTAAAACACCTCCACTGCTGATGAATTACTTGGCCAAAGTTACACTTAATGGTGGACCACAACATAACTAACAAGTAAACACATAATAGATTCTAACTCACAAATCATGCACACCAAGAGGTGCCAGTGCTAAGTAGGAGGTGACTGGTGGTGATTACTTGTTACTTATACCCAACCATAGCTTAGTTTATGGATAGTTCTCTTTCTTTTCACATCATATACCTGCTTTTCTGTGAACTCTCAGCCACTTTTGTTTGATTTGAATATTAGATGCTCTCACACATCCACATAGATGGATTTACTCATGGGAGCGGATATCTGACAAGAGTTATTCTAAGACACATAAAGGGACGAACCTTCAGTAGCTGTAAAGTGGTGCAGTTACACTGAGGTCAATAGAGATCCGTCTGTTCACACCAGCTGAGGAACTAGCTCCCCAAAAAGCTGACTGCCATTTTAAAGATGGAGAGCTTCCTTCAACACAATGGTGCAGATTCTCCACCCAGGCCAAACTCTGCTCTTAGGGGCAGTGAAGAAGGGGGCTGAAGGGCTGTTGTTTCCTGATTCTCAGCCGCGCAGCCCTGGTGCAAATTAGAGCTGTACTGGAACAGCTCTATCTTACGCCAGTGGAGAACTGGGCATAGCGGAGCTCTGTTCCACCATGTGCCCTACCATTTCACCCCGGCCATGCTCTGCTTTGTGCTGAGATGGGGGGAACGGAGCACAGTGGTTCATACAGGAGTCAGCTCTGCCATCTCCACCAGCTTTACATCAGTGAAGAGCTCTCCTAGATTGGGGAATTCTCCACTGACCATCTCCAGCTCTTTCACTTGTGCCCCTTTGGTTGGGCATAGTGACTTTACACAATTTGGCCCTATGACCAGAGAGTATCAAGCCTGGTTTGCCTCTGATGCCCTTTTGCCAAGCCACTTCAGGTTACAATTTAAAATCTTCCCACTATAAGCCCACAGGCAGCCCTTCCTCCATATCCTCACCACAGCAGCGATGATTTCTCTCAACTGTATTTTCCCCTTTCTTACCCCTCCCCCCGGCCCCTTATTTCATAGGAGCCAGGCATGGGCACATGGGTTTGTGTATACAGAGCAGCTTGCAGGATCATGGCCTCAAACTAGAACTCTATGTATGTCTCTTGTATGCACCCAAGCCCCCATCACTGTGCGTGTGAGAACTGGAATGCCGCTAAAACTAACTACAGGAACTATGGACTATTTAGGAAATTGCTTCACTGACTCTAGAGCATTTTAAAAATCTTTTCTAATTACTCTGAAAATTATTAAACACCACAATAGACTGGGTAAATAACGCAAATATCATAATCTCTCTCCTCTCAAAAATGGTGTAAACTCTTTCTTTGTAATAATATTGAATTCTTCCTTCAGATGCATGCTTGCAGTTCCCGACAGTTTGGCCTAAAATGTGAGATGAATATATACATTACCTGGTCTGGTCAATTCACTGAAGAGCTGAAGTAGAAAACAGGGGTCATAGAGATCATCAAGATCCTTCTCACTTTTATCTCTATACAATGGCACTTGTCCTTCCTGAAACAAAACCCAAAATAGAGAGATACTACTTGAATTTAAACCAGCTTCATTTCAAACTGCCCTTACAATATCATCATGGCCGCTCACATTAAAGCCCTGAAAATACTAGGTGTAGAATCATGCTTAACCACTGCTGTGTTTAAATATGGCTATTGCTGCCATGGTTCCAGCATGTTTGTCCTTGACCAATAGGAGCAGACTATACGAGAGACTAAACTAGAGAACCCAGTGCAACTGTACCAATGCACAGATGTGGTTTAGACAGTCAAACGTGGTGAGTCACTAGATGCCAAATTCTGATCTCGGTTATATTTTGGCAACCTCATTAAATTCAGTGGTGTTGCACAGCTTTAATTACAGGCAAGATGTGGTCCTAGACTGCAATTAATCTTGAAAAAAAAATACTGGTTCAGTTGGAAATAGAACAGTAAAAACATGTTCTGTGAAGTGATACCAGCTAATTAATCTTAGCCATCTTGTAACGTATTTCTGAATGCAAACAATGGACTATATCACATTAACAACAGCATGATTAATCAATTACTGAAAGGAAAGGGGCTTTTCCACATCAAAAGAGAATAATTAATAGTTGATCCAAAGCACCTCTGGTGGCAGGAGACGGCGATGTTGAGGGAAATGTAGGATAGTCTTCATCATCTTCTCTTTATCTAGCAGACACAACATTTCCTCCATGCTTGGCTGCTGCCATAGTGACTTCCCCAGACTCTTGCAAGTCTTGTGATGTTCCACAGCTGCTGGCCCCCACAACAATATCCTTAAATATTGTTAAAAGTAAGCCCTTAGTTAACAGATAATTAGCATGGAGAGACAGGCAATTATAGAGATGGATTCAATTTATAAAAGGATATAAATTAGTATTTAAAATTTCCCCTCACTTGTGCTTATTATCCTGTGGGAACTTGAAACTAGAATCTGTTTCCCTGGCAACATCTTTCTCATCCTTTCTCAAAGGCTTTCGAAATTCAGGCTGATGGTGTCCCTTTAGCCAACAAATCAAAGTCTGTACACGCCTCAGGAGAATGATTTATTGACAGTGTCAGTGCCTACCACCACCACCTCCTCACACACTGACCAAGACTTGATCAAACTATACAAACCTCAGAATGTCTTGGAGTTCAATTAGTTTTTCAAGCCAGCACCAAAATGCCTCCATGACCCCCTAAACCAAGCCCTTCCACCCTCTCCTTAGAAATCCACTTATTGTGCTAAGGCTTATTGTTTATTATCTGGATAGGCCTACAATGCGCTAAGTACTTTATGAAGTAGTAAGACGACAAAGACAATGCCACTAATCACTTACAAGCTATACAGGCTCCCATCAATGACTGACTACGACTGCCTACTCCCAATCTCAAGCATGTTCCTTGGATTGGTCTGTATTCCCTGCCTGCCAGGGCAGGGACTGTCTATCTAAGGGTCTGAGTACCAATTTATTTCAGAGTGCAATATTAAAGTGTTGTTTCTCACCTATAAAGACCTAGATGGTTTATGGTACTAGGTACCTGAGAGGCCATTCTTTGCCCCTGTGATAACAGCAGCTGAGAGGCAGGAGGAGACTAGTGGCAGGGTCCTTGACTCTGGAATTAACTTCTGTCCTTACTTCACCAGAGTTCAAATATGCCGACCCTCGACCCTCGGGACAGGCGACAAGGCTTATCTGTTCCCACAGGCTTTTCCATGGGTGGGATGGGGTTGAATGGGTGAGAAAAAGGAGAGTCTTTGGTCTGGTCTACACTAAAATGTTAGGCTGACCCAGATAGGTCGCTCAGGAGGGTGAAAAATCCACCACTCTGAGTGATGTAGTTAAACCAACCTAACCCCCCTGTGTAGACAGCACTAGGTTGACAGAACAATTCTTCGCATCGATGTAGCTACCACCCGTCTCAGGGAGGCGGAGTAACCACAGCGACAGGAGAACCCCTCCCGTCAGCACAGGGAGCGTCTATGCTGAAGTGTTGCAGCTGTGCCACTGTAGCATTTCAAGTGTAGTTTTGTTGGCGACGGGAGGCGAGGGGGCTGGACATAGGTTGAATTTGTACTTTGTATGCACTTTGTTAGCAATGCTTATACAGGTGAAATGATGGAAAGGTGCATTTAAAATAAACAGAATGAATAAGCAGCAAAATGCTAAAGGCAGCAGAGCCATTAAAAGTGCTAACTGCAAAGTGGGCTGGCTGAGCAGCAGACCAAGGACTAAAAGAACTGGGAGAAAAAGCAATCCTTTCACCCCGCAATGTGGTCTTCTCTACCCCAGTGTAGTGGCACGAGGGGGAGCTGAAAAGCTGCTGTCTGTTCTGCACCTGCTCTGTGAATAGTGCCCAAGTTCTATTAATCCAGCACCTTGCACCAACATCAATTTAATTCCCATTCTGAGTTTTGGTCCTCAATTCAAAAATAAGGTGCCAGGCATATATTAACTTTCAGATTGCTTATATGGCACATATGCTAGCAAAACAAAAGGCGGCAATCAACTTACCTAAAGTTTATAAGACTTAGATCATTCTTCTCATATAATTGAAGAAGCAGTAAAATTTTCTGATCTAAAAAATCAGTAAGACATACATTAAGCATTTTAAAAATAGATCCAATGGAAAATATCTTTAACACTCCAATACACTTACCGACACCACTCAGCGTTGCACCATAGGATCCTAGTAGCACAGCGAAGTGGCTGCTCTCACAGACTGAGGGATTGAGTTTCACTATAGTTGACAATACATCCACTAATGCCTCTGAAACAAATACGAAACTGTATTTTTAGTTTTTGCATTCTCTATCAGATGGTAGCCAGAGAGAGAACATTTAAATAAACACCCTAAGATTTTGCATTAATATTTACACTTGTGACACGACATGGGCAAAACATTTCTCTATCAGTGCTGTAGTCCAGATATGATACAGTAGCTTCAACTGGAACAATCTTTCTAGAAGCCAGCTTGGTATTTACCATCCTATCTAGGGATTTACATAGACACCATCACTGCAGGATCTGATTGCATAACAAATGTTAGTGAATTTATCCTGTGACATACAGAAGTGTTACCATCCCCATTTTACAGATGGGGAGCTAATGCCCAAATAAATTATGGACAAACTTGCCCCAGGACAAACAGGAAGTCTGTGGCAAAGCTGGGAATTGAACCCACGTTTTGAGTTGCACTCCATTGCCTGAGCCAAAAGCCCATCCTTTCTCCCCTACCTGCCATGCCACATCATAAATCAAAGCAAAACTATGACAACCTCTTCATTAGAGTTAGAAAAAGATAGAGGTAAAGATGAATGAACTCATGACAGTAACTTCTGAATTACTGAGGCTAGCTTCTTTGAAAGAGCCTGTCTCCTTGTCCTATGGAAATATGGTCCAACTGACAAATGCATGAAATAACGGATATACTTTCATGAAAAATATAAGCAATCCCTTCCTCCTACTGCGTCACTGGAGCTTTCTCATCTTGTCAGGCATTTAAAAGCCTTAAAGTTTGCCTAGATTTTGCTCATGACTATCGGTGTTGGCAGTACAGATTTGTCATCAAACTGTTCCACTTAGAATTTCATCATCATCTCATATATAGCAATTTTTATCAATTTATCTCAAAGTGCTTTATAAAGGGCAGCTAAATATTATCCCCATTTTAAGCTGGAGAAACTGAAGTGCAGAGCAGGTAAGTGATTTGCCCAAGGTCATAGAGCAACTCAGTTGCAATGCCAAGAACAGAACCCAGGTCTCCTGACTCCCAGCCCAATACTCTATCATTAGACCTTGCTGCCTCTTTCAGGTTAGGACTGAACTAGATTCCTCATAGGAGGATTGTTCTATCAAATACACAAGCTAAGAAATTAAAATTTGATATACAACTAGCAAAGAGCAATATTAAATCCTCTATGTCAGTGGTTCCCAAACTGGGGTTCGTGAACCTCTGGGGGTTCATGAAACATTACAGGGGATTCTCAGAAAAAAATTCCCTAATGGTGGACAGAACTGTCCATAGGGACCCCAGCAGCCCGGAGACTTGGGGACTTCCAAGAGCTAAGCAGATCAAAGCAAGCATATCTATCACACTGAGGACATTTAAACTGCAAGACTCCTTATACAAATAGAAAGGGAGGTGGATATTTTTGGCTGTTTTTAAAAATAAATAGGCTGCTAGTGTTGTTTTTAAATTATTAAGAAGAACAAGTTTAAGTTTTGTTGTAACGTGCATTGTTTGCCTGGACTGCCCAAGACCTGAATGCTTGTGTAGGAGGAACTCTTTGAGTTGGCTTCTTAAATACCTACATGCTGTTTCACATCTGATACTCCTTGATGAAACATAGGAGCCAGAGGCACCAGTACAGGGGGGCGGGGGGGGGTCGCAAATGAGAGTCACGTGCCGGCCCCACATCAGCATGCACCCTGCCCCCCCATGGGTCCCTCCCCTTTTTTTCCGGCGGCCCCCACGGGCCCCCCCACTTTTCCAGAGGTGCCCCTCACAGGCCCCAGGGTGCACGGGGGCTTTGCCCCCTCACTCCTTTTTTCTACTGGCATCACTGATAGGAGCCTTGTCTTATAACAAGCTTAATCAAAATTGATACAAGCTACAAAAGTGAGATCTTGGAAGAGTGTTGCCGTTTTCATAATGTAATAAAAATACTGTAATGATAAATAATAATTAATATATAGTGTGTAATAAGCATGTCATAAAAACAAATTTTATATTTCCAAGATCACTGCTTTTATAATTTATGCTGAGATAAGGGAAAAAATCCCTGTAAATATTCATTTTTAGGAGGGGGTTCACAAGACTTGACATTTTAGTGAAAGGGGTTTGCGGGGTGTTAAACTTTGGGAACCACTGCTCTATATCAACACAGATACCTATTTTAAAATTAATGTCTCTTATGTAAGCACATTTTTAAATAAATACTTAGCCAAATAATATTTCTACCTTCTTGATCTAATCTTCATCAAGGACAAAATTCAGGCCCTACTGAAATCAATGGCAAACTTCCAATGACTCCAGTGAAGCCAGGATTTCACCCCAAGTCTTCAGCAGTAAGAAATAACACCGAAGAATGGTTCTAAAAGATATTAATGTTTAAAACTGGCATTCGTGAGGAAAAATACAACCTTTAAATTCAAGTAGAAAAGAGAAGGCAGGCTTTGAAATGAAATGCTAATAACAATTTGGGAGTTATTTTAATAGCTTGGTAAGTATGTAGATGGGTAGGTAACTGGATGGATGGAAAACAAAACTGACAAGACACTATTACTATATATAGCTGAAGAAAAGAGAGAGATACCTCTTGTCTGAATCTTCGTGTTATCTTCTTCTCTTGACCTCAGCATGGCTGACAAAAATGAAGAGTGCTGCGTGATCATCATGTAAAGCATGGAGAGCTTGACTAATCTCTGACTAAGAGGGCTCTCTTTTGTGTACAACAATTGCACAGCAGCATTAAGAGTTTTCAGAAATCCATGATCTCTGTAGCGATACCTTCAAAAACAACGATCAAAGGAAACTCAGATTTCAAGCAAAGGCAAATTTGCTATTCAAAATAGTGAAACATAGTATAGAAAGCAAATTAAAAAAACATAGCCCAGTTTTTCATTCAGTTTGTGAACTAACCACATCTTAAACTTCAGAAGAAAGGCCTATTCATAGTCAGAACAGCAATCAGCTGTACAGGCTTTATTAAAGGTTAGCATTTCACAAATTTTATATTAAACCCTTCATTTGATAGAAATGTGGGGCTGAGGGATTACTATCTCCACATAAGCTAAGCCTCCCCCCAAATATTTATTTCTTCTCATCTCTCTTTTTCATTGGTAAAGGAAAAGTGCCTGATCCTGACTTCATACCAGAGTAAACTGGGAATATCTTTAATTAAAAATCACGGGTTACACTAGTAGTAAGAAAGTAGGAGCAGTTCCAGTAATTTGCTACACTACACTAACTGAAGGCCAAGTCTGGCCTCAGTTGTACATGAAGTCAATGGAGTTGTACTGAAGTGAATGGAGATTGTGCCTATCTATGGGGCTAATCCTAAAAAGTGACTGGCATCCTCAAGTCCCACTGATTTCTGTAGAAGTTGAGGGCACTTAGTACCTTTTAGGATGTGCTTAGTACACTGTAGGACTGGGCCCTAACTGATAGGATATGGCCCAGTGAACATTACAGAGTGCCTATCCCATCTTTGCTTCATCTCAACAGCAATACAAAATTACTTACTTAAGTCCCATCTTCACAAGACTGTGCCAGTCAGCCGGAACCACTTCATTAACAAAATGCTATGGGGGTAGTAAATAACAAGTAGTGATATGTAACATTCAATATGAAGCAGAGCAAAGTTTCCATAGAACATCAAGACCCCCATTTTCTGTTGAACACTTTGGAGCCATGATTGCAGAGTCCAACCTGTTTCAAGGGTTTAAAAAGCACCAAAAGCAAAATACAACTGTTCTGCTCATGTCAAGCCTTAATCCCTTTTTTACTACTTGGTACTCGCTGGTCTTCCCATGTTTCTCAAGCAATGGTCTAAGGCTATGTCTACTCTACAGATCTTACAGCAGCACAGCTGTGCCATTGTAAGGTCTCCTGTGTAGCCGCTCTATGCCGGTGGGAGAGAGCTCTACTGCCGGCATAATTAAACCACCCCTAACGAGTGGCGGTAGCTAGGTCAGCAGGAGAGCGTTTCCTGCCAACATAGTGCTATACACACCAGCACTTTTGTTGGTGAAACTTTTGTTGGTCAGGGGTGTGTTTTTTTCACACCGTTGACCAACAAAAGTTTTACAGACAAAAGTGCTAGTGTAGACATAGCCTACGCTGTTATTTTAGATAAACACAAAATTTCAAAAACACTTTATCAGGCCCAGGCCTATTTCCGTGAGAAATGCAATAATGTAAAAAAGCAAAACATTTTTAGAGCAAAATTACAGATATGAAGTTGGGACAACATGGCATCTGCAGCCAACTTCTCCCAGAAAGAAACTCAGTGTCAGGGGTGGAGGGGGAAGACTACAGGGTATTCCATCTTCAGCTGCAAAGGAATTTTCATACCGCAGCACTTCAAATACTAATCACACCTTTTGTTTTAAGTGATATGTTTCCATGCCTAATTACATTGCAAGTATCAGAACCTCCTCTCACCTATTCCTTCTCCCTGGAACCCAAACGAATAAAGGGCTGATGCTGTGAGGTGCCAGGTGCTCTCCTTTCCCGCTGATGGGTGGGATTCAAGGGTGTTCATCACCTCTTAGAATTGGGCCCTTAATTTTTTACAGCTCAGCAAGAAGGAATAGGTGAGACGTTACAATACTTACAATATAACTGGGCCCTACAAACAGAAGCATAATCCAAATCACATTGGCTAACATGAGACAGCAGCAATTCTGACTTCCTTAGAACAGAAGCCCACCACTATAATGCAGCACCCACATTTACTACTGATATGAAATAACGCTTCATTTTGCAGGGGGAGGAGGGATCTTTAGTGAATTTAGATAACAGAACATTACAAGGATACAGTACATCTGAGTTTATCTGTAGATCAGTTGTGGAAATCTTTAGGTGGGATCTACAGTAGACATGGAGCGGGTATGTAATAATTTTATGAATGCCATGTGTGACAGTCATACAGATACAGTATAGATCTATGCTGGGTTAGTGGAATGTTTATTATATGCCTGTATTGCTTTAAGTCAATGGGAGCTGTCTCTAGGAAGAAGACAATAGCTCCTGGATAAGAACATTCCAGCACACACTTGAAAGACAATGGGGAAAGCCATTAGTTTCACGGAAGCTACATCCTACCTCCAACTAAGTTACAAGTCTTGTTTTGCCAATGCTGGTAGCTAACAGTTAAAAAAAGTGACATGGCGCCTGCAAAGGGGAGGAGGACAAAAATGGAACAGGATTTCAAGACTCTGTCCCTGAAGTAGAGAGAAGAACTGGTTTGGGGGCTAAGAGAGCAAATTATGCTATTTGACCCGAGACCTCTGGGGGTGTCTCTAGGAAGCTTAGGCCTACCAGGATCCCAAGTGGAAGTTGGATAGACACCTGGTAAGCTAGATATACATGTGGTTTACTTCTTGTTTTAAGATCTTTTTCTCTGAAATGTTTCAGTTCTAAATAAACAATACTTTGCTTTATAAAGCTGTCCAGTCAAAGGGTAGCATGGGTCATAGCTCCTAGACAGAAGTGCGCTGCAGGTGCTGACCACAAGTCAGACCTGCTGAGGTAATCACCGTTAGTACCAGGGCCCTGTCAGAGTGGGAGAATTGTTATTTACACCCCAAGAGACAGGTGATGCCTGAGATGGAGTGCACACAAAGAAACCAAGAGGGGCAGTTAGCCCAGCATCTGTAAAAGCATCTTTTGCTTTTACTTAGGACCTGATCTTGTATTCCTTACACACCTAAAGAAAATTTGAGATGCATAAGGTATACATGATTAGGAACTTATGGCATTGACCTTGCTGCCACTGAAGTCAACTGGATGATTGTCGTTGACTTCAGTGGGAGCAGATTCATGTACTTTGTAAGAACATTTCTACTTTTACAGCATTTTCTTTCTCTCTCTCTTTTTTTTTAAAAATACCGTCAGGGACTGATCTTGAAAGGAACTGAGCATCTCAAAATCCCACTAACTTCAATGGTAATTGCAAGTGTCCAGCACCTCTCCCAACAGGACCCAAAATTGTTTTGCATTAGGATCTTGCAAGGCCAGTTACATACTGTACAAGCTGCACACAAAATACCAAAGAAACCAAGACGAGCGCAACAACTTCATTTACATAATATAGAAATAGAAAAGCACAATAAAGAAAAGTCCATACAATCAAGGTTTAGATTAAAGCAAATGGAAAGGAGTCTCACCAATAACTCTTCTAGTCTCAACAGCATGGAACTCTCTGTTCCTTGGTTGTTTTCTTGGTCTTTACTGATGTTATATGTGGTGATTAACCACTTTATACAGGCTGCCAAGAGGCTTTTCTTCCAGGAGTGCAACTCCTCAGCAGAGTTCTCCAGCGCTCTCGATATGGAATCTGCCACAATCCAACTGCAGAAAATTCAAATGTTAGTAGAATGTTTTTGTTTGTGTTAATTTTACCGTGATTTTCTCCACACATTTTTAATCATTTGATTTTATGCATAGGGACACCTAAGCCCCAGATGACCAAAGAATCACTATCTTCTAAAGCTCATGATAATCATGTAATAAGTTAGTCACCCAGGAATTTACATGGCCAGTCCTTTCCTCATGTTGCCCCAGAGATGAGTACTGTCACATCTGTTATAAACCCAGCCACCATCAGCTTAAGCAGGGATAGAAAATGTTTCGATCACTTGCCCAAGAACAGAGCTTGTGAAAGTGTACTGGTCAGAAAAGTATTTTTACTGGTCCCAGCTAAGTACTTCCAGACCTTAACGCACAAGTCCATACAATATTTTTTGTCTCTCTGTTTATTATGCTATTGAATGTTAACTTTAAAAATGGCTCAAAAGTTCCACAAAGTTTAAATAAAACTTAATATGGGTATCTGTGCTGTGGCTCCCTTTCCCAGCAAGATATGTGAGGCTGTTGTAGCCTTATTCTGCTGTACTATAAACAGTTATTTCTGAAGCACACCAATGAAATTAAATGGAGAAAACATCAGGCTTTGAATTCCTGATATTCCCCCCCACACACATTTAATTTCACTGAACCACGGTACAGCTTCATGAACGAGGAATGTTGTATTTAAAGTTTTGGGGGACTTCTGAGATTTTTAAAAATATTTTTACATGATATACATACATTAAAGGACACCCCAGCTTAAAAATACTATCACACTTAGACAGTAGGTTCTTTGAAGCAGGGATAACAATGTTTTATGCAACAAAATGACAATTCCACGCATTACATTACTTAAAATGCAAAATCTGGAAATAGGACTTGCCTACCTCTCATAATTTTCTGCTCTCTCAAGAGTTCCAGGTAACTGGTCAATTAGATTAGTTAGCGCTTCAATTTCTGAAGACTGTACCAGCTTGGAAAACACTTGCAACTTCACGGCTGTGAGTTCTTGCGATGGTTCTGTATCTAGAATTTTTCTGGACAGTTCTTTCCACAAAGCTACTCTCAAGACAGGTACAACAGCTGAGGAGACTGTAGGAAGAAAGAGAGCAAAGAGACACAGTGATGTCATTGTAAGCTCTCTGGCAGTGCTCTCAACTCAAACTGCTTCATGTGTTCAACGGAATGATAGAACACAGACTGTGGGCCTATTGTGAGAAAGCACACACCGTGTGGGACTGTAACAGATCTATGAAGTGTTTGAAAGACAAATGTTCCGTAAAGTGTCTGGTATCTCTTTCAAACACCTACTAACCAGAGGATTAAAATGAGTAGTTACAGGCAAATATCACAGACCTCCAAGGCACAGGGGCAACATCCTGATGAGAAGCCCAGCTCTGATCTCCTAGACAAAGGTAGTAGTAACTGCTCAGATTCTTACCAAAGTGCTGACACTGGACTCTGATCAGAGGCTTCTTCTTTCATTTCAGCTCTGATAGTAAGTGTCTGATAAATCTGAAGCTACCACCATTCGCTGAGTAATGGAATGGAGAAAGATTTCTCTTCCTCTTCTGGCCCTTCACCAAGCAACACCTCTCTTGAACCTCCTGTAAGCTGGGTCTGCTACTCTACCCCTCCCAGACTCTTGTTGGCTGCTGCTGAGGATTCTCCACTATTTTATACCGCTTCCAGACACGGGTGTCCTTCCCCATCAACAGATACAGCGTGTCTGCCTCTGCTGTTGCCTGTAACCTTCCTTATCAGTAGAAGAATGAAACAGGCATGATCCTGGTTAGTTTAATTGCAGCACCTAATTTTCTGAAATGCCACGGTGAAACTGACCAGATTTTTGTCAGTTTAATTCTGCTGTTGATTGGGAAAACTTGGAGCAGCAGCAGAGCTACTGGAGCTGTGTGAGGTTCAGGAAGGCATCACTGTATTGATTTATACTTGGAAATTTATTTTTCCACCTACAGGGCTAGAACTTTTTATTTTTTTTAACATAACAGATAAAATTCTGTTGAAATGCATAGTTTACAACATTCCATTCACCAGATAAAATATTCTCTTTGCAGTTGGAAATAATTTTTTCACACCCAACCACTAGATAGATAGGGTTTATTCTAAACCGAACCGATAATTATCTAGACAGATTTTAAGAAGTGTTATGCTTTGACCAGCTGTACAGGGCTCAAGAAGAGCCCGGGGCAACTGCAGCTAGCAGTGTTCTATTTGAGTCAATTTGGCCCCACCTGGTTGTGGCCCTTTAAGCACTACTGCAATAATAGTCTAAAGAATAATCATAAAATGTCTCTGATTTTCATTATCAGCTGTTCCATTGATGGTGCAGACAGACTGATTCATAGATTTTAAGTCCAGAAGAGATCACTGTGATCACCCAGTTCAATGTCCTGCATAAACACAGGCCACAGAATGTCACTAAAAAGCTCCTGCATGAAGTCCATGTTCTGGTTGAGCTAGAGCAGCGGTTCTCAAACTATGGGTTGGCATCCCAAAGTGGGTCATTTTAATGGGGTCTCCAGGGCTGCCGTTAGACTTGTTGGGGCCCAGGACCGAAGCCTGAGCCCCACCACCCGGGGCTGAAGACCAAGGGCGTCTCAGCCCTGGGTGGCGGGGCTCAGGTTACAGGTGTCAGCCCCTGGCAGGGGGCCTTTGGGCTTCTGCTTTGTCCACGCGAGCATGGGGTGATGGGGCTCGGGCTTTGCCCCCACCCGCCATCCGGTGCAGTGGGGCTCATGCTACAGTCCCCCCTCCTGAGGTTGTGTAGTAATTCTTGTGTCAGAAGGGGTTCGCAGTGCAATGAATGTGAGAACCCCTGAGTTACAGCATATTGAGTGTTATGGGTCATGTTACGGCATTCGGGATGTAGGCAAATGACTCAACTGTTGCTGGGATTCCTGCTCATTGATGGTACTCATCAGCCTACTTATTAATTTTTGTGTTATGCTTTCATTTAACTTATTAGGTTGCCTTTGGGAAATTACTGCTACTATATGATGGAGAGTTATGAGGTTAACTCTGTCAGGCGATGAGAGCACAAAGAGGGGCAGGGCCACTTTGCCATCAAAAAGAACAGCAGAAAGCCACAAAACGACCAGAGTGATCAATGTCACTGCACTGCCTTGTCATGAAACACATTTCTCACATACTAAAGCAACACCACAATGCAAAAAGGACAATGAAACCTCATGGCTAGGGTGGACTGATTTATTCAAAGTGATTTAAATAAATTATTTTAATAATTATTTAAATCAGCAACCAGGAAACCTTGATTTAAATCATTTTAAGTGTGTTTTGCATGTGTACTTTTTAGTTATTTGTCCAAAGAAAAGTTGATTCTCATTAGTTAGTAACCATTAATACATGCTGATTTGCAACTAAAATTAGTTTTTACAATAAATTTTGTATTACTTTTTGCTAACCAGGGCAATACACTATATGTATACACATTTATTTAAGCAATTATATAGCTTAACATACATTTATTCATATCATTAATTTTTACAATGTATTATATTAGAACCTGGTGAATGATGAATTTCATATGTACTAGATGATTAATTTTTTACTTGCAATTTTTGTCAAGCTCTGTTCAGGAAACAAAACTGGAATTTTATAAATGCCAAAAACAGAGTTTTCATTTTTATTTTATCATTAAATAAAATTACCCTAACTGTGCTGGATATATTGAGAAAAAGTTAAGTTTATCAAAACAAGGTTTGCATTTAAAACTAACTGGTTTATTAAACAAAGGAATAGTTTAATATTATCTATAGTTTGGGAATTGAAGAGACTGCTTCTGGTCGCCATATTGTTTAAGATTTTAGAACTAGTAGACCTCATCCTCTCACACACTGTTTTTATTCATAAATTGGAAGAGGAGAACAAGCTTTCCTGATTTTTCAACCCCCAATCCATTTTTTAACTTTGAATGAACTAGTCATTGAACTGAACTAGATGAACGAAATGAAGAAAATATTCTCTCTGCACCTGCAGCGAAGGCTACTGCTGTCAAAAGCTGGTTTAGCTCTTCAACATTGCTGGTTCCAGGTGCTCAGCCAATGGCTTCTACGAGTTCAGTGGTTTGATTTTCTTTAAAACTTTGACAGCAAACATACACTGCTTAATTTTTTTAAATTATTTTTAATAGATGATATAGTAAGTTTAGACCTTAACATAGGCTGTACATTTCAAATTCAATTTTAAGGAGGTTTATTTTTAAAAACAAAAATGCATTTAATTTAAATTTAAAAGAAAATAAGTAATTTTTTTAAATTTCTTTTTAAAAGTCCTTGATTTTCATCCACCCTGCTCATGACACTAATCCGAGATTACTTTATAGCATTCTACTGTGCCATTCAGCACAATATTTCCACCCATTCCTGTGAGGCAAGAGCAATGAAAGGTTTCTCCTCTCTGACTCCTTCTTGTCACCTTGAAGAAACAGGGAGTGAGCTCTGGATCATCTGATTAGAATACCATGTCTATGCTGCCTCTTGTGTCCAGCCAGGAGGAGGCCTGCTCCTGCTTGCCAGTACTTTACTTGCTCTTCATGAGATTAAGCAGAACAAGAAGTGCACCAATCAAATCTTTGGATTCAGTGAGAGCCACAGCGGTGCTCCAAAGAGCCACATGCAACTATAGAGCCACGAGGGCTAAGTATCACTAAGCTAATGGGCCAATAAAACTTACTTTGTAATTTTCTATCAATACACCTTTGGAGCCATCCTAGTTCAGCAAATTCTACATGTTTTCAAACACTTTTTAAATTTGTATTTACATGACCGGCAACAATACTCATAGCATTCGCTGCAGATAACACTTTTTATTTCCTAAGTTCTGAACAATCAGTTAATAACCAACATGGAAGGAAAGTTATCTGCATTTTAAAAAGATGGCAATGGAAAGAGGCCTGATGACTTGACTTCAGTGCCTTGTCCTGGATATGTCAGTGATGGTCACATGATAAACACCCATAGAGTCAGACAAGAGTAGACAGAAAAGAGCAATTTTTGTAACTGGTTAATAAAGTGGAGAATCCTAGCTTTCCAGTGGATAGCAAGTATTGATTTTAGCAGTAAAGATAATGGACTTCTAAACTGTCACTGATCCTCAAGTCTAACAGTACCTTTTGGGGGGGCTAGTCCAGCACAGAATGTAGCAAGTCCCAGACCTTAGGCCAGTGAAATTTTCATTCCCTGAAAATGCTCTTCCCAATGCACCCCCTGACAGACACGTCATTTTATCTGAACACTCTGGTGAGAATAGTTAAAAATCCCCAGTTAATATTTACATCATTAATATTGATCAGTTGTTGGTTTTACCTTTTGATGGCCGTGTAAAGTCATACTGCTCTCTACTCTGCAAATATACGTTGATGAGTGGAAGAAAGATGTCCATATTTTTCCTTAGGTACTTTCCAGTTGCACAATTCAGACACCACAGCTCAAACTGCAGCAGATGAGTCCTACAATGCTGGATCAGCAAAGCCACAATGGCAAGGGAAGTTTCAGTCATGTGGTTAAGGCAGTAAACGTGTACATCTACACCAACCGCATGGGCAAAGAGGGGCTCTCGAGAGAGAGCATGCAGGAAGACTTTTTCCAGATCCTCACTGTTTGATGTTGATAACAGAGTCCCCATCCCTTTAATGTGCTCTGTTGATAACAGCAGCTCTCCTTGATTGGTCTGTCTTTGGTAGCTTTCTGTGAGGAGCTGCACCAGTGTCTTCCCATAGAAGCTTAAATGTTTCTCTTTTTTAGGGGAATTTTCAGATTTTTGAGTGGTCAGGCTTGCCTCAGGAAGTTGGAGCATGGTTAGCGTGACTTCTTTTAACTGAGCCGCATCCATATAAACATGTAACTGCTGCAGAGCCTCCAGCTGCTGGGATTTTTTGGGAGATACCTTGTTCTTTTCTTTTCTTCCAGCACGTAACTCTTCCAAGACACTTTCAGTGATGGCTTCAAAATACTTAGACAGCATGTCTATGTGCTTCATATTTTGCAACATTGGAGCACTCACTATCAGTAACTGAAGGATGCCATTATTTACATGAGCTGACAAAAGCTTCACCATGACAGGGTTTAAGTTGTGTTGGGGAAGAGAATGTTGCTCTAAAGCCAAGAACCAGGTCTCCAATGTAGGATGTTTGAAGATCAACATGAGCATATCTTCTAGCATCTGCAACGTACACAGTTATGAAGAGAGCACAAAAAAGATAATCTAAAATCATTTATCTGCTTCTACCTATAGTGCATGTTTACTGAAACCTAAAAACCTGTAGTTTTGGACATTAAATTGCCTATTACTGGTCAAAAGAATTAATGAAATACAGGTACATACAATTATGTTTATCTCAATGTTTATGGTATGGTAAAAAAAAAAAAAAAAGATTCTAAACATTAAACAACATCTCCAAGTTATTCATCTCAATTTCTATTCTGCTGCTTCTGGGATAAAGCCAAATGCTTTCTCCATTTGTTCATTCAGACAAGCATGACTGAATCTTTCAAAGTCTGTGGCACAATTTTACATAGACATTAGAATGACTTAGTCCTAAGTCAGAGTATCATGTGAGAGAGAAGATACCACTTTAACCTATCACAGAATGTAACTTTGTACATTTCCATAAGTTTTACTACGTTCCCAGGGGAGGTATCACAGGTTTCATCAACTAAATACATGACATTCTAATCTTCTTGAATCCAGGAATCAGATAAAACTAGTGCTATGGGGAAAATTCACCCCTCCCTCCACAAAACGTGGGCAACGAAGCTTTGTGCCAGGGTCTAAAAGAATGGAGAAATAGCATTCACTCTCCCAATACGCAAGTGAGCTGTAGATCTGCAATGCAGCCCTTTCCATAGCCACTATTCTAGCCTGTGGGTTAGAATAATAGAGGCTGCTGCCCAGCCACACACCTGTATGGTAGGTTAGAGCAGTGGCTCTCAACCTTTCCAGACTACTGTTCCCCTTTCAGGAGTCTGATCAGTCTTGCTTACCCCAAGTTTCACCTCACTAAAAAACTACTTGCTTACAAAATCAGACATAAAAATACAAAAGCATCACAGCACACTATTACTGAATAATGGCTTACTTTCTCATTTTTACCATATAATTATAAAATAAATCAATTGGGATATAAATATTGTACTTACATTTTAGTGTATAGGATATAGAGCATATAAATAAGTCATTGTCTGAACAAAATTTTAGAGTCTACTGACTTTGCTAATGCTTTTTATGTAGCCTGTTGTAAATCTAGGCAAATATCTAGATGAGTTGATGTACCCCCGAAAGACCTCTGTGTACCCCTGGTTGAGAGCCACTGGTTTAGGGACACTGGATGCATGTTCTCATAGATCCATTGGTCCCTCTCCCAGACTTCCTTCAATGGCACACCTCTGCATTGACCTATCTGTGCCTGAAGCAAAGACCCCTCTGTGGAACACTATGTCTGAAGCCCACTATCCATGTGGCGATAACCCACCTGCATCCCGCCCATCACCCTACAGAAAGCTATAGTAGTGCTTCCACTTAGGGTACATCCAGACTACCCGCCGTATCGGCAGGTAGCGATTGATTTATCAGGAATCGATATATCGCGTCTCGTTAAGACGCGATATATCGATCCCCGAACGCACTCCCTGTCGAGTCCGGAACTCCACCGGAGCGAGCGGCGGTAGCGGAGTCGACGGGGGAGCCGCGGCCATCGATCCCGCGCCGTGAGGACAGGAGGTAAGTCGGAATAAGATATGTCGACTTCAGCTACGGTATTCCCATAGCTGAAGTTGCGTATCTTACATCGACACCCCCCCATAGTGTAGACCAGGCCATAGTGTGCAGATCTTGCACAGGCCTTCAACAAGTGATTGCATGTTTCCCTATCAGACAGGCAACACCTTTAATCCTAATTAAACACCCTAACACAAATAAAGAGTCAAACCCTCACCTTCCACATCAGACTGTAGCATTCACTGAAGCCCCCTTTCTTTCTTCAGCCTCTATCACATTGTGTGTATCAGTAAGAATACAGGTCAGCTCCATGCTCTACGCTAAACGTTTATTTCAACTACCAATGACAATTAGTTAATATAGTTTGCACCCGAGAGCCATTTGTCTGTTTTGCCTCAGTAAACAGTTCTCCAAAGCTGATGAAAGACTTCCTAGAGTCCAATTTAATTGTGCTGACTAATATGACAGCATTCATTATGAGTGTACCGAGGGGTTTATACCTAAGCTTGGAAGGATCAGATTTTTATCGGTAATGGCTGCTAAAAGTTGATTTCACCACGCACACAGAAACCGACCAAAAAAATATATTTCCATTGATAGGCAAAGTAAAAGAAGTGCTGCTTGAGAACTTCTTAGAGTCTGATTTGACGATATTTACTTCGTGTACTTTGCCATGTCCTGTTGACAATTTGTATGTTAAGGGTTATAAAGCTTTAATTGTTTTAATCTCAATGTCTACTGTTATTAAATAATTCTTGTATGACCCTCCCCCCTCCATAATTTTGAAAAAAAATGCTTACAAATAAACATTGATATTATCTGTTAAAATTATACAATAAATAAATAAAAATTGAATTCTGCCAAGCCTATTTATACCTTGTCATTTGCAGACTCCACTGTGGCCACAGACTCTAAATCCATAAAGAGATCCGATTCAGTTTGGGCCCCTTCTTGTTTCTGCTCGTTGCACAACTTCATCTGATCACATCGGCACAGCAAGCTGCTCAGCAGGTCCATGTAGAGACCGAGAAGGCGAGGACCAGAACTTTTACTGAACTGTGAAAGTAAACACACTGGAGAATGAGGAGAAAAGTGGAGGAGGCTGGAAAGAAAACTATGCAAGAACAGGATTAAATTAATATCTTCTTAGATTGTAAACTCTTTGGGGCAGGGACCATATACAATGGCTCCCACAATAAGGGCCTGATCCTGATCAAAGACTCTGGGGGGCTAACACAATATTCATGTATTTTAAGGGCAGAAGGAATCATCTAGTCTGCTTCCAACATAACACAGGTCAAAGAATTTAATCACAACTAAAGCATATCCTCCAGACAGGCATCTAGTCTTGATATAAAGACAACAAGAGATGGAAAGAAAGCTGCAATTCATTTGCAGTATACATGACACACACATTCATAAAGAATCCTATTGTAAAGGCAGCCAGTCTCAACAACAAGGGATACAATTGCTACAATCTGGGCCGGATTCCTGAGCTGCTCCCTAACTTCAGTGGGGGTTGTGCACATGGAGAGGCTACACAACCAAAGTACATTTGCACCACTTCAGCGTGGTGTACTTAGAACCCAGCATTAAGAGAACATATTTCTTACACTGCTGAAGTTCTCCACCGTGGTTTTTAGGTACAGCAGCACGTGCTTGACTGCTAGCAAAAGCTGCTGAAGTTGGAGCTGGGAAGCTGCCTCTCTCAGCTTTGCCTGGACACCATCTTCCAGCAGGACAGCGCCACCTCTCTCAAAGGCAATCTTCAGCAAGGAGGGGAACGAAGAATCTGGTGGCATGATGGGCTCCCTGCTTATGCATTCAGTTTGTTTCACCTGTTGAAAACAGAAGTAATGCGGAGAGGGGAAAAAAAAGACACAATGTGTATATCAATCTCTTAGGGCCAAACTGTGCTCTGACCTAGGCTGGGGCAATTCCCATTGAAATAAGGCATGTAACCAAGCACAGAACCATGCTTTCAGGGCCCAGCCCTGCAATCACAATGCACAGTGCAATACAGCTGTATTGTTATCAATGCGTACAGATCAATGCTGGCCGAAGTGCCCCTCATACGCTCTCTGGCTGGCTGAGGGAGCAACGCTGCAGCTTCTATCGTGGATGGCCTGTGTGCTCCTAACCCGCTCCCATCTAGCCCTGAACAACCTCAATCACTGCTGCACCAGCCTCTCCTGTTGGGAGGAGATGGGGAGCACCCACCACCATTCTTCTCCTTGCCCTTGTGGGGATGCTCCTCATCCACCTGCCTCCCCATTTGGGGAAGGGACACTCGTGCCTACTACTGCCTGCTCTGAAAGGAATCTGAAATAATTAAACTTAATTACAAATTAGAGTTATAAACATTACTTATTCACACCAGGATGACACCTGCAATAGTTATAACTAACACAGAACAAATAAATAACAAATCCATTTAAAAAGCAAAACGCAAAAACTGTTTTTAGCAGGATCTGAACTTGCAGCAAACTAGCACTCCTGGCGGGCACCACAGGGATTGCAGGCACTCCCTTCACAGGGTCTTGGCTGATCTGCTCACTCCATGATAGGAGCTGCGGTGATGCTCTCACTGGGGAAGAAAGATTGCCCAATGGTTAGGGCACTAGCCTTGGACTCTGGAGACCGGCTTTACATCCTTGCTCCACCAAAGACTTCCTTTGTGACCTTTGGCAACTCCCTTAGTTTCTCTGTGCCTCAGCTCCCCATCTGTAAAATGGACAGTGCCCTTCCTTCCAGGGGCCTTGTGAGGATAAATACATTAAAGATTGTGACGTGCTCAGATACTATTGCAGTGAGGGCCACATAAGTACCACAGATAGATAATAAAATGGCTATTGTCAAGGTATTACAACCATTTCCTTACTTTTTTTGAAACTCAGGCCACTGGTGCATGTAAGTAACTTTCCCGCCACTTGCTAAACAGGATTCTGCATATAAATCATTGTTGCAACTTGATAAGAAGTTGCTGCTAATGTAAAAGTAATTAAGGATTCAATTAACAGTTTGACCCTGCACCAGCTAAAAAGTATTTGCACCTCATTTAAAAGTCTCCAATACCCTTCAATCCAGCAAAGATTCTGCAACACATTAGAAAACGAGGATGCCTAAACTCGGGTTTGGAAGATAAAAGCCTAGATGTACTGCACAGTGGAAATGAAAGCCTTCTACAATCTACTGGTCTTTTAGCAACCCTAAAGCTAGCAATCAAATGATTTTATGCATCCCTTACCAAGGTTTCCTTAGCTTGTTGTGGTATCCAGAGACTATAGTATTGGTTAAACTGGTAGAGCTGAGGATACTGAGATGCATTCAGTGACTGGAGTTCTTTATCGAAGAGCTGAAACATCAGACAGAGGGCCAGGGGATCTCTCTGACTGTGAAGGAGATCAGTAAAAACAGCAACAAGATACTCCACTATACTTCCTCCTACAAAAGCAAACAACAGGTTTGAGACAGGTTCTCTCACTGGTAAGAATCTGGGAAACTACACACACTAACTCTAGCCACAACACCATTCACACCCACCTAACCTGAGCAGTATTTAGATAGCAATCACTTTGAGACTACAGCGTGGGATTTTCATAAGTGCCTAAGGAGCACAAATCCCACTGAATGTCAAATGGATTTATGCTCCTAATTTCTTGAGGTGCTAGTGAAAATCCTATGTACTGTAGTTCTTAGTAAGGTAAATGGTGCCAGATTACACTCGGACTTGCTACTGGGTTTAACCCCCAATCTGACACAAAACTAAGTGCTTTTCGCAGTGTTATATTATACCTGTATTCTGGCTGGTCATAGGCCCAAGCACAGCTGCACATAGAAGCAGGCATAATCTGCATGCAGGAGTGCAGATCAGAGGGGAAGCTGTGTATAAATACGTGTAGATCTTGGCCCGTTAGTCATTCTGGATACTCAACAGTTCACCATGTGCAGGACCTGGAGAATGCCAGCTTTGTGGGTGGGGCATGGGGAGAGAATCCTGATCTGTGCATAACAATTATACCCATCATGGCTACCTCTTTTCTCACATATATGGCAGCGTCAGTCAGAATTTATACCTAAAACTTCTAACTCGTTGAAGATGTATACAAAGAAAAGCACTTCTATCTTAAGTCTAGCATTTAACCACATTTTGCCAAGTTCTGTCCTAAAGTTATACCCAGTGCAACCTTACTAAATTCAGGTCTGAGTAGAATTTAGCCCATTTTGTCATTTATGCTCCCAATGCACCCAAAGAGATAACGTTGTCAGTCAAGGATTAATATGGAAGTTTTCTTAAAAAAAAAAAAAAAAAAAAAAAAAAGTTAATTCCCTCCCCCATGGGTCCAATTCTCCAGTCCCAACTAACTGGTTTCAATGGGAGAGTTTCACACTATTTGTTATACCAAACACAATCCTTTAAAACCGTTCAGCTCTATTTCACTTAAGAACTTCCTTTTCCCAGTCACGGCTATTGTAACATAGTTGTCACTAAGCATCAACAGTGTGCTTTTAGAATGTGAACTTGCAGAATTCTTCCCCCAAATGAAATGTGTGTGTCGGGGGCAAGGGGGAGGTTTGGTTTTCTACATTTTCCATAAGGTCACAAATTATTGTGAGCAATATTGCTTCCTACATGGCTACACTGCATAAAAAGACAGGAACTCCAGGAAGTTCCTTTGGGTGACTTCTGTACATGTTCTTACCTCAGGAGCAAGGGAGGAAGGCATGCATTCCTCTCTCACAAAAGAAACAGGGAGTAAAGGTTTATGCTGTGAGAATCTTGGAGGCTTCTCAAGCCAGGGCTATCTATGCTGAGGCACTTTGCCTCAGCCCTGGTTCCCAGCAGAATTGTGCTTACAGGGGCTCCCTCCTTTGGCCACTGCTGTGGGTTCCACAGCATCAGAGGACAGGTGGGCTCTTTAATTCGGATATGACCAATGTAGCTTTCCCACAAGAGTTCCACAGAGTTGGTGGTGGTGGGACTAATGTTGTAAAGAGCAGTCATCACCCTGATATTGCCCTCTTGGCACAGGTTCTGAACCCAATGCATCTTCCTTGGGGTCAGAAGAGGGTAGAGGCACCTTGCACCCTTAATGCTTCTCTGAGCTAGGATCCCTTGGATCTGTGTTTTCTCCACTTGTAGAAGCAGAGGGTACAATAGGGCTCATTGATTTTCATACACAATAACCAGAGTAACCACTGCATGAAAATGATAAAATATTCCCCCCCTTCCATATACAGCATGAATCTTTTTAGCCACTCCCAGGGACATATATAAACACAGTAAGTACCCATTTCATTTTCAGTCTGAAGCAACAACTTATTCCTGGCTTCTAACGCTGCAGGGACAACAGCACTGAATGGAAAGGTGTGTAGAATCATGTCTTCATTTAAACTGAATCCAATTTCTTCATCTAGGCCTTCGCTGCCCTCCACAAGGACATCAACCATATCCAGGACATCTAGTTGCCAATGAAAAAATGTCAGGGTTCTGAGTTCAAGCAAACACTACTTTTAGGATGCAAGTACACAGGAAATAAGAAGAGATTTAAAGCACCAGCAGCAGTGGATGAAGGCATCGCACCAAAACATCTGCAGTCAGAGCACCTCTGGAGGAGACAGGCGAGCGCGTACAGGGGAGGCAGCTGCCAGGGTGGATAAAAATCAATGATTTAAAAAAAAAAACCAAACAAAAAAACCGGATTTTTTTGATAAAATGCTTTTTGAGGAAAAAACCTATCTAAAGATAGTTTTAATTAAGATACATTATAGCTCAAAGATATCTCATCATGGAATAGGGATTATAAATTCTAATTCTATAGTATGAGACAATATATTCATGTAATGTTTAAGAAAAGTTTGGTAAATGAGTTCCAACAGTTCATGGATTAGGGACCCACTCTTATGGGGTTCCAGTGGCTTCTCTATAGATTATTTAGGTTAAGCTTTCTATCTACCCAATGGGACTCAGTGCTCAGTCTAGAAGATACCATCAGAGATGCTTAGTTTTGCAGTTCTCAAACTGTGAAATGTGTCTCCAGAGATAACATGCTTGTTAATAGCAAAAATGTTTTTAAATAAATAAATAATGTATAGCGGTGAGAAATAACAGACCTCAACCCTATTGTCCATCTCTAAATTTGTGTACACAGAGTCAATCCCTTACCTCTCTCTAAAACTGCAAAGTTTCAAAAATTTCAATGAACAGAAGATTTTTGGGGGTGGAATAGATCTGGACAAGGAGAAGAAGTCTGGAGATAAACGGAGAAAGGAGGTAAAAGCAGTAGAAACAAAAGTGAAACTGTTTGAGCAGCATATTCCAGAAGTCTTGAGGTCTTTCTGAGATATATATTTGCTGATGATGTTTTAAAGAAAGTCACACCAGTGAACTGGTGGAAGTCACTTAAGCACGTGGATTCAGAGACTGTTGAAGTGATAATCTCACTTTTAACAGCAGTAGCTTCTTCTGCTGGTGTAGAAAGAATATTTTCTTCCTTTGGACTAATTTATTCCAAATTGAGAAATCATCCTAGGAAAGCAGGAAGGTGAAGATGACTGAGTTAGCTGTAGAAGCCAATATTTTAAGTTTCTCATGTTGACCTGGCTGATATAGTCGATTTAATTTTTGTGTGTTTTTTTTTTTAAATATTTCATTTAACTATTTTAGTTAAAAAAATTTTTAACAAAAACCTGATTTAAAAAAAACTTGAATCTTTAACTAAATTCAAAAATTCATATGCTTGTTTTGTTAAAATATTATATGTTTGCTGTTAAAGAAAAAAATCCAGAATACATAACGTTGTTGTTTTAGTTAAATAAAACAATTTAAATGTCTGTCTGGTGATGTTCTCCTCCTAATACAGCAGGGCAAGAAAATCCTCCAAATATTAATGATTAACCTGTTGAATTGGAGATAGTTCACCTCCCAATGACTTCATAAATATCTGCTTCAATTACTTTTGGTAAATGAAATAACCAAACCATCATTCATTTTCTAATATAGCTGTAAAACTAATCTGAAAAGTTTTCAAAATAAATCTCTTTAAAAACGTATAGTGTGTACCTTCTAAAAATGAAACCTACATCTATCTCTGAGTTGTGAAGAATATGTATTAAGGTTATAACAACCAACAAGAAGGCACTTTTATGTAGAAATCCATGATTAAATCGAGTCTTCCTGACTAG